GTGTGTGTGTGTGTGTGTGTGTGTGTGTGTGTGTGTGTGTGTGTGTGCGTGTGTGCGCATGAGTCCTTTCTATCCTCGCCTCTTGCAATCGCGGGTACTGCTCGTGTCAGTGTGGAAACAGTGTTGAGCGCAAGACCCCTGCTCATGTTTCCGTTCCCTGTGAAGCCCTTTTTACCGACAGGGCGTTCCTAGAGCTGGATCAAAAGATTTTAGACTCGCTACAATAGAAAAATGGAAACTGGAGATGATCTTAGAATGAATGAATTGACAATGAGCGCTCGAGCTCCAGGAGCCGCAACTATTTTTGGGGCATTTATTTTTTTTATCAAGCTGACTTTTGGTCAAGCGTTAAGGATGCTATTGCCCAAAGCTTCTTTTTATTCATAAGTCAGGCTTCACTCCCTCAGCTCTCTTAGTGTCTGCTTATTCCTTGCATTTGTGTGGGGATGAAATGCAGTTATTTTCTAAATTCAAAAATAATCTATATGGGCCTGTATTGAGATGAAGCCCCATGTTTTCAGTTAATTTTGGGAACATATTTTGCTGGATTTCTTTCTTTCATTTGTCTCTCATAAAAGTTGTGTTTGACAAAGTTACGGGATGCACCATATGACTTGGACTGAGGATTGGGGGTTCCACAATCCTGGGGGTTCCACAATTATGAAGGAGCGCTGTCCACGCTCCTTCATAAAACCACCACCTCCATGCACGTGCGTCCTGTGGGAGGTTCCCCTTACCTCCCTTGCGTTAAACACTCCTTGCGTTATCATAAACAGTCCGGCTTCGGGGGGCCATAATCACCTCTCTCGGGCCTTTACCGAGACTTCTCATTGGACGTCAACACGCGACCAGCGCGAGGAGGGGGGCTCCCAGACGCGTGCCGCCTTTTAAACCGAGGCAGCGCCTTGAGACACCAGAGAAGGAGTCCCGCACGCGACAGTCGTATTCACACAGCGCGACAGCATAGCCGTGCTGCGTGCCTCCTAGAAAAAAAATCTAATATTGCAAGCCGGTTTAACTTTGCCTACATTTGATTTATTTTTTTTGAAACATGGATGTCCGAAGTGTGGAAGACTGGAGCAGAGGCGAGGTGGCAGTCCTCAACTCGCGGCTGCAGAGCCCGAGATTGGTGGAGAGGGGAGGGGAGCAGCAGCTCGAGGAGTCCCGCTATGAACCTGGAATGACGCTCGTGGACAGCTGCAGTGACCCACGCGCCTGGCTGGCTCCAGCGCAGCCTTCGGGCACCTGCGTGGCACACGCCAGTTCACCCGACTACCTGCGGCACTCGCCCTGCCCGAGCACCGGCTCCTACCACGGTGAGAAACACCGCATGCCATTTCCATTTTGGACAACATTTACAATCGCCTGCGATGCAATGTCACGTGCAACAGGCAACAGGGATTTGCAGTGGCGTTAAATCCTTTGGTTTGCACTGAAAGTATCACATAGGCAGAATAAGCATTACTTTCCTTTACTGAGAGCTTATGCGTAAAGTTTATTTTGTAATGACTACATTGTAATGCGCTTGATAACAAAACATCTAATAAACAGCATTTATCATAGGTGTGTGGTCAAACCAGACCAGTTCATCACATTTGTTTTCATTTTTCAGAGAGTGGTTCCCCGGAGTCCTCGGGCCACCCCAGCCCTCCCAGCTACAGAAAAACTGCCAAGAGCCCCTCCTCCTCTTCGCTCAAAGTCAGGGACTTGTGCCGTCTTCAAGGCACCGTCACCGGGTCTGACGAAGAGACATCCCCGAGACAGAGAGCCCAGTCCAGCAGACCAGTCCACGGAGTGCAGAAGCAGAGGCGCGTAGCCGCAAACGCGCGCGAAAGGAGGCGGATGCACGGGCTTAACTACGCGTTCGACGAGCTGCGCAGCGTCATCCCTGCGTTGGACAACGACAAACAGCTCTCCAAATATGAAACTTTACAGATGGCGCAGATTTACATCAACGCTCTGGCTGATCTGCTCCAAGGTCCCGTCTCCTCCAGCAGCAGCAGCAATTCCGAAGTCTCAAACAATAAAAACAACTCGCCAAAATGTGACACTGCGCTTCCACCCGCCGTTGGTTTTGACGGGGCGAAGGACAGGGCTCCCCCGTCCCCCGCAACCTGTAGGACAGCGGCGGCTGTGCCCGTCTCCGGTGGCGGCTTACCTGTTCACATCAGCGGGATGCCCTTCCACCCCTCATTTGACGACGGTTCGTTTTCCGCCATGGTTGAAGAAGCGATGCGTTCGCCCTCTCCTCCTCCCTGCGCTCGGGCGGGCAGCTCGCTCGCACCGGTCGGAGGCGGGAGGAAAGAGTCCCCCCGGAGCGACGGAGAGTTTTCCCCGCACTCCCACTTCAGTGACTCGGATGAAATAGCGATGGAGCTCCACTCAAGTGAAGAGGATGACTTCTCAGATCTCAAGCTACGCAGCCACCATCATCACACGGTTGCTTTCTGAATGATTAAAAAATAACCGACTTTATTAAAAAGTGCAGGACAACAAAGTGTAATGGCCGTTCACCGTGTCAATCATGCAGTCTATCTGTTGCTAACAAAACACCGTTCAATGATGGGAATGTCATGTTCAATTTTTAACAATAATTCTATTTTATCAACTTGTTAGTGTAAAGGTTATTTTTCGTGTGAGATAGACCTAATTCGGTTCTGCCAATAGATAGCCTATAATTTCCAGTTTCCATGGAGACGTGGCTGGAAGACCCCTCTGCCATGTCGCGCATATAGCACTGCCATGGGTATTTCCTACGTCACTCCGACCAAAAAAGCTGTCTTCCACAAAATAATAACTTTATGGATAAATGCTTGTATTTGATAATGTAAAAACACTTTTTTTGTAGCTATAATATGATTTTTGTTTTGATTTATGTTTTAATTTGTTAATTTGTTTGTCTAATGTAGCTATTTAGTTTTGCAACTTCAAAAGTTCATAATGTGCACTTTAAAAATATACGAGCCAGAGGCTTGAGGAATACGACCTTTGTTTTCACACCATAAACAATATTGTGTTGCTTTGTTTGCTAGTGTAGTACTGCCAATTCCAAACAAATAGCCTATTTAATGTAACCATCAATGCTGCCTTCTTTTGTATTTTATTTTGTACCTTCAGATGAACTTGTGTGTCTTTTGCTTTCACTGGATGAGATTAATTGACATGTAGGCCTATTTATTGCTGATATGTTTCATTTGATTTGCTTTTTATAACTCCATACATACATTTATTAAATACATAAAAATACTATAACTTTACCATTCATTGTTATGTTAATTTGATTTTGGGAATAAAAAGGCAAACGAAAATGTCTCTTTGTCTCTGTTGTTTCCTCGCACCTTTTTTTACTGCAATGAACTCTTTTATCAGCTGTTTTTAAACAGTGAGCAGTAACCCCATCCGTTTTGTTTCCACTCATTTTTCCAGTATTAATATAATATAATAATAATAACAATAATAATGATAACAGGTTGTTTGTGGTGGTTGGAAACTAAGTCTGCCTTTTAGAGCTTGTTAACAACTGAACAGGCCAATAACACAATCATATATAATAATTATAATAATATAACAAGGATAACAATGATACTACTACTAATAATAATAACAATATTAATAATGTAAATTGGATACATTGATGAATAAATAATACAGGCTTTAAGCAATTACCTAATTTTATAAATTGCATCTTCTGCCTAACGAAATTTACATCCACAGTATCGTACTGTAACCTTCATGAATGTGCATTAAAAATAGCCTGAGTCACATATTTGAACAGGGCCTAACGGGGTTCAGGAGATAATGAACACAATTAAAAAGGTTGCTTTTTGAACGTCCAACGTTAATAATGTAAAACCAGACAAGTGGGCCTTTCCGTCTAATTAAAAACAAAGTTCAACACTTGATCACCTCTTATGTATCGTAACAGCGACATGAAACGTGTCTAACACGCGCTCGCTCGCCGTATGCTGCAGGTGCACGCGCCCCCAGACCCACACTCGGTTGAGTTTTCTAAACTGACTTTGACGCAGATCAACATTGAGTTCTAGCGCAATGTGTTTTGTTTTTCTTGCAACAATCTTCTATGCACTCGACAAAAACTTTTTTTTGAACTGTTGCCATGTCGTCCATTTGGTGAATACCAGTTGGTAATGGGGAGTGTGCATTAATTTCAGCCTATTGTTGGCTGGCTCGTGGGCCGAGGTGTTGGATGGCCTCAGTGAAGCACGCGCTGTCAGCTGGTGAGCGCTCGCGGGTCCCCACCGTGTCCCCGAGGACCTGACTCGAGAGAGAACACACTTTCTCAACTAAAGAAAGACCTGCACACACACACCTCCTCCTTTCCACTTTTGTCTTTCTCCTTTCTTCCCCTCTCCCCATCAACTCAAACAAACACGCGCATGGACGGGGACAAACGCACCACGCACACACTGGCAACCTGTCCTGCTGCGTGACTCAGGCTGAGTTTTTTTTCCTCCTTTCTTTTTCTCCAACTTATTTGCGACTCCTCTACAACGTGTCAACAGCCTGTCGGACACAGGGCGTGGTACAAAACAGCCAAATACTTCGAAATTATTTATGAAACTGCCTGAAATAGCCTACCTGTTTGCTACCTGTCACAGCCCTGTCTCCCACCCACTGTTTTCAGCCAATCACACGCCGTGCCCCTTTGCTCGCCTCCCGAAGGTAGGGAAATAAGGGAAATATAATGAGGATACTGTGTTCAATTATTAACAGAATTTATGCAGGTAGAGCTACATCTGAGTATGACCAGACAGCCATCTGCAGCGAGTTCGTGTTGCGGTGAAAGGAGATCAAGTTTAAAGGGATGCTGTAGGAATATAACTGTTCACTCTATGGAAATACACGTGGAACCGTCGTGATTCTGTTGCAGAAAAATAATATTTCAAAAAATTGGTCAGGTCCAAACACTGAATCACTGGAGCGTATATTTTCCTTGATATTTTGCAAATTAATAAAGAGCTGTTTATTGAAATAACTTCAGTTATCTCACTTTACATTTTTAGAGGACTATAATTGGGGGTCTCCAAATAAGATACATGAACAATTGCAGGATTTTTTGTTTGGTCAATAGTGGTATGATAACGACCACTAACGGGCTTTATTTCTCCAGTGGTGGTTTTTATAGAAAGTGGGAGATGAAAACAGCCATCTTCAACAGGTGGGATGCTGATCAGGTTGATGTTTCACGAACATTAATTATTTACGCAGCGCAGACGTTATAAAAAATAACAACAGTTGGGGGAACCTGAGACGCACTGACGCGTGTGGACGCTGTTTGTTAGAAAAATAAGACAACGAAAATGAAAAATCCACAGTTTGCACGGTCTTCACTCTTACAAGTTTTTGCTTGATATTTTTTCTTTCTTTTGCTTTTAAGGGAAGTTGTTTCAACAACGCCATACATCGACCTATATGTCTGTTTGTTTCCAGCTCTTTACGTTTGGACTCTTCTTAGACTCAGAGGCTCCTGAATATTAGAACGAATTTATCTTTAACTCTTTGTTGTGTCAAATAAAACGATGTGCTATGCAAAACAAACTGTTCAAATCCAGCACAAGAATGAAAGCAACGAACATTATGCATAAAAGAAGACTCAGAAAGTTTCAGTGAAGTCAGGGCGTGATAAACAATCTTTAGTCAAGAGGAGCGCTCAATATGTTTTAAGCCTCTGTGGTCATGCTCATTTCAATAAATATATTCAGAATATGTGCATTCCACCGCTTCCTTTTTTTAATGAAAAGAGAGGCGCTTGCATTTTGTATGAGATATGGGGAGCCGAGCTGTGTGCTGTCCAAAAAGCCACGGGTCTCTCTGGGGACCCAGAACAAAAGGCAGAACTGGGCCATAGTCTCCATCTGCTGTCCTAGAGAGAGAGAGCGGGAGAGCGGGAGAGGTTGGCGAGTGAGGACACCATGGGTACATAGAGACAGAATAATAAGTGAGAGGGAGGGAAAAAGAGAGAGTAGAGACAGCGGCAACAGGGGACATATAGATAGACAGACAGACAGACAGACAGACAGATAGATAGATAGATAGATAGATATATAGACAGATAGACAGACAGATAGATAACGGTTCAGTTGAGTTCCATTCAGCCAACTGTAAATTGGCCTAAGGGCTAACAACCATAACTACCCCTTTGTTTAATCTTACCCTTAAATTACCCTGAAGCCTTCACCAGAGCCTTGTATTATCATGTACTGTAGCGTAACCTATAGTGACTGATCACACAAACACACACAATGCAGCTGTGCCACGATGAGCACCTGTTGCACTGCATGCTCCAACTCAGTGAGGCTATTAATTGTTAATGCTTTCCTTGGTAGTACTGTGACTCACAGTCACACACAATGTAACATTTATACCTGCAAAGTTATCTTTTTTGGTAATGTTGTTATGTGTACAACTCCATATTTACCATGTGAAATCATTATGCCTGATAAATGTCAGCTTTATTTTTGAAAGGGTCCCAAAGCTGAGGGCCTTACATCTTCTAAAGCGGTACTGTTAAAGTATTTTGACAAAATACATCCTGTGGTTTGACGACAAGCAGCCCGTCCCTCAAAGCATGTCCACCTGCACATACACACGCTGACACAGTCCCACACGCAGTACGTACACACTGTCACAAAAAGAGAAGATCATTTATCTCTGGTTCTCTCCATGAAAGACGTCTATGGGTGAAGCAGGGTCTCCCAGGGCTTTGTTCTGGGCAGGGTTTAGCTTTTTGTGTCCGCCACCTTCAAAGCAAATGTACATGAACACGAACATGAGGCTTCTTGGGTAACCGGCCCATTGAAGAGCAGCACAATGGTGCCACCAATTATCCACAGTGCTCAATGCTCCTGCGGAATCAGTTACATGGCTTTGTTTGTATGTGTGTGTGTGAGTGTGTTTCTTGGATTTGCATGTTTGAGGATGTAAAGGTTTGAGTGTATGCGCGTATCTTTCTGTTCATGTTATTCAATGTAAATCTGTGTGTCCATATTATTGTTTGTGTGTGTGTCATCAATTATTATTTTTTTATCTGAAACACTTTCGTTTTGAATTACTTTGTGCCATTTTCTCAATTTTCTCATAAAAATGCAATGCAATCACTTTGGCTACAGTGTGTGTGTGTGTGTGTGTGTGTGTGTGTGTGTGTGTGTGTGTGTG